ATCGTCATAGAAAATAGTCCTTGAAAACTGTTACATAACAACAGAATAAACAGAAATTTCGGAGAAGAAAGGGCGTACCCAAGGTACCGCCTCTGAAAGAGCTACGTGCTCAGTTAGTGTAAGTTAGCTGACTATAAATTCAGTGCGGAAGACGAAAAGTGCTACACGTTTACACCTTAAGTCACCTCTAAGAAAAAGAGGTGTCGAACGTGTTGTATTAAAATTTACAAACTATTTTCCTGATGGGGAATTCGACATGGATTTAACCTAAAAACCGAGAATAGTCAAGGATGTTAAAAAAATACGAGAAAGGTTATTTCCAGGAAATTCCTGTACGGGGTCAATTTTTATGAGGCAAAGTCATTCTTCTTCGTAATTAACCATCTTAAGCAAGCAGTTTGTATCCATCTAATGGATGGATTATTTGCACTATTGTGGAAAATTTCTGGCCCATTTCTTGACGAAAATCGATCGTAATATAATTTTAAGCCTTCAATATAGTCTTCTTACTTTGCGCGCGAGTTGGTTGGTGTGATGTCTGTACAGATTTTACCAACGTAATAAAAATAGATGACGTAAATAACAGTGATGGTAAAGCAAGCTTAAAACGGCAGAAATCGCCAGAAACTACAACGGCTACACAGGGTATGAGTAAGTTTTATTGATTTTACGAGAAAAATGTTCCTATTTCGAAATATTTATGGTTGTAAATCGACCATATTTCGCTCCCTATACTATTCCTTATAACGTGTTCAAATTTTCAACTACCACGCAATCGCTTTTCCGCGATCAGCCTTCACGATTATTTGCACTATTGTGGAAAATTCTTGGCCCATGTCTTGATGAAAATCGATCGTAATATAATTTCAAGCCTTCAACATAGTTGGTTGGTGTGATGTCTGTACAGATTTTACCAATGTAATAAAAGTAGATGACGTGAATAATAGTGATGGGAAAGCAAGCTTAAAACGGCAACAATCGCCAGAAACTACAACGGATACACAGGGTATGAGTAAGTTTTTATTGATTTTACGAGAAAAATCTTCATATTTCGAAATATTTATCGTTGTAAATCGACCATATTTCGTTCCCTATACTATTCCTTATAACGTGTTCAAATTTTCAACGGTTCCTAGCATAACTTACTCTGAGTCACACAACGCGTGACGCGTTCGTGAATTAATCGTTGGCTCTTTCTCGAGACGTGACCTTGGGTCGCCTGTGACAAGAAAATTGCGTAAACAATACTTAACATAATAGCATTATACACAAAAAACACGGGATTTTGGATCATGTATTTATTGATAAAGGATATCCATACAACAACAATGAAAAAAAACATAAGATTCACCTTTCTGATCGTGAAATTAATACCATTCGCACTGTTATCGTAGCTACGTTCCCTGGCATCAAGTGAATCCAACATGGCATCTTTCTTCACAAGCAGTTTGCATCCATTTGAATTTTGTTCTTCAGTCTCACGGTAGTAGTGTTGTTCAATAGATTGCATGGAGTATATGCAGTTTGGTTTCAGATTTCAGATTTTGCTTTTTACAACGAGTTTACGTTTTCAACTAAGACATTGGCATACTTGGCATACAAGACATACAAGTCATTCAATGCTTTCATGGCTTTCAAGCGTTCGCGATTCTGTCCGATCCAAAATTACCGCTCAATAACATCTTTTTGTGTGGATTGGCCGCGAACAATACGACTTGTGTATGCGTCTATAAGTATTTTGAGCGTTTGCCCCATAATGCTCCAGATGATCGTAATCCAATTACGTTGAAATACAAAACGACTGACAAAATAGTTTTATGGGCAAAAGTCTCGTGTTCGTCATGTGACCCGGCCCTGTCCGTGCATGACAACGTCAATCATCATCAAGATAGCCACGTGATCAGCATGTGAACACCTCATTGGACCACAGTTAGTTGTCATGGTGTTGAGGGCCCAATGACCTCTGGGTACTATTGCGCAATTTTTCCATTTTGTGGCGGAGGAAAAAAAAAAGGAAAAAAAAGACGACAAAAAACCAAAGGCATTTTAAGACTGGGCTACCACAGGTATCCCAGAAAAAAAAAAAAAAAAAAAAAAAAAAAAAAAGACGACAAAAAAACAAAGGCATTTTATGACTGGGCTACCACAGGTACCCCAGTAATGAGGTGTTCACATGCTGATCACGCGTGCTATCTTGATGATGATTGACGTTGTCATGCACGGACAGGACCGGGTCACATGACGAACACGAGATTTTTGCCCATAAAACTATTTTGTCAGTCGTTTTGTATTTCAACGTCCCCGTCCAACGTCCCCCCAAATCCCGTGTTTTTTGTGTATAATGTTATTATGTTAAGTATTGTTTAGGCAATTGTCTTGTCACAGGCAACCCAAGGTCACGTCTCGAGAAAGAGCCAACGATTAATTCACGAACGCGTTACGCGTTGTGTGACTCAGAGTAAGTTATGCTAGGGACCGTTGAAAATTTGAACACGTTATAAGGAATAGTATAGGGAACGAAATATGGTCGATTTACAACGATAAATATTTCGAAATATGAAGATTTTTCTCGTAAAATCAATAAAACTTACTCATACCCTGTGTATCCGTTGTAGTTTCTGGCGATTGTTGCCGTTTTAAGCTTGCTTTACCATCACTATTATTCACGTCATCTACTTTTATTACATTGGTAAAATCTGTACAGACATCACACCAACCAACTATGTTGAAGGCTTGAAATTATATTACGATCGATTTTCATCAAGAAATGGGCCAGGAATTTTCCACAATAGTGCAAATAATCGTGAAGGCTGATCGCGGAAAAGCGATTGCGTGACGCCCGGTAAGCTGTAAGATGACATGTTATTATATACCAGACGTAAAAACTCTTCAGATTCTCAGTCTGCATTTTGTACCCACTCTGCAGTCTATATTTTGTATCCAGTCTGCAGTCTGCTGTCTACATTTTGTACTAACAGGTATCCGTGGCACCAATACAGTTTGTTTTTGGTTACATTTATTCGCACAACACACATAATCTACCACAAAATACCTGTGTGAGGTAATTCGACATTTTCATTCTTTCCCGCGTTAATAATCTTCTTTCCTTTTGTAAGAATGTAGACCACTTACAATGTTTCAAGTAATCCACCCACCCTACAAAAAATAACTCTTGCATGCATAGCATGCCTATGTTTTGAGACAGGTGTATGCCCTTGGCCAGACTTGAGCTCACTATTTCAGTATACTAGTCCGACACGCGTAGTATCACTACACTTGATTCCACGGATCCAGTACCATCCAGGTATTCCAGTTACCCTGCTCACAGGGTCTAGTTATTAAGGTATGTTGCTCGCACCAATCAGATCGCCGCATTGGGGTATGTATCTCGCGCCAATCAGATTTCCGCATAAGGGTAAGTATCTCGCACCGATCATATCACAGCATTTGAATATCTTGGACCAATTACAGTGTTTGTTTCGTTTCGCATTGTTTTCTTGTAAATGATGTCATGGAATTAGGGGGCCGTGCACAAAGGATGACATTAACCAGAAATTTTGTGCTCGTTTGATAAATGTTGTGGTTGTGGCCTTCGCAAGAGCCTCGTTGATTGAGGTCGAGATTTATCGGGATATGAAAAGTTCGCATTTATTTTTATTGTATCATTTTTAAGTTGACATGTTTTTCCGCCCCCATTCTCACAACTCACACGCCAAACAACTTACATTCCATCACGTACTATGAAAACACGCTCAAAGTTCAATCGGAACATACCCAATCATTACATTACATGAACAATAGGGAATTTTTTACGTGCCTGAATTGTATTCTACCAATCAAATTCCAGTTAGCCACATTAGACTTCGCTCCATCACATGCCATTTCCTTGTAAACTGAATTTTATCACGTATTCTAACCGCTTTATCCAACCCCACTGAAAAAAAAAAAACTCACCATGAACTTAATTCTGCTGATAGCAAATTTTCCATGCAATTCTCCCGCGTTTTGACTTTTCAACGAATAAAATTCTTTTTTAGCTACCTTGGACTTTACCCAATCGCGTGTTAATTCCTTGTAAACAACCTGCATTTTATCACGTATTTCAACCAATCAAGGAGCCCTCTTCAAAATATTATCCTCTTCTCTTGTTTAATGTATCTTCACTTATTCGAGATCGCAATATATCTTTGGGTAGGATCTATTGGAGATACAACAGTTTCATTTTGCTTTTCGTAGTGAAATTACGTGTAATTGTATTTTTGAGGCGTCTAACTATAGGCGAATAATTGTGATTTTCTCCATGTCAGAGGAAATCAAAATTGTTGTAAACGGTAGTCACTTTACTTGACTCTTTCGCACCCGTTATTTGGTCCCGTCACGCAATGGCTCTCTCTCCAACAGGAAATGGAGGGCGTTCTGTGACAAGACCAAACAAAGGCTGCAAAGGAGACTACAGTAAACGTGGTAACGATGCATTTTATTTCTGCTTAGAAGTGTTTAGACAACAGAGACAATAGACCACGAAATACCTGTGTGAGTTAAGATAAATCAGGCTTTTTCTCTTTCTCTTATGCGATGTTTTTGTTCAAACAGAATTAAGAGAGAAAATGATTCAAGAAACAAACAAACCTGTACAGAATTCAGGAAGACGAGATTTCTTCAAAGAGAGACTGTTTACCGGTGACAAGGATTCTACCACGAAACAATGACACTTTTTTGAAGGAAAAATTTGAAGAGGTTACGCGATCAAAAAGCTGTGTTGTAGCATGCACGGAACTCGTGCTTTTTCACATGGGCGATAAGCAGTACCGCTGGATGTTGTTGATGCATCAGGGCTTCAGTCGGAAATTCAGTGGTTCCTGTTTATATTGTGACCGCTGTTTCTTTGGGGATTTGTTGCTTTGTTAAAGATTACAACACAACATAACCTTTTTGATATCATTCTATTATCATCGAGGTACAATTTCCTTCAAGGCTTTTACGCGCTTTTGCGGTGAAGCTCACTTAAGCAGAAACGCTCCAAAGTAAGAGTGAGCAGTCGCCATGTAAAGTGTGACAGGTGTCGCGGTTTGTAACGCTATGGTGTCACCAGCCTCAAGATAAAACGCTCCCCCTGCATAGTGGGGTCCTTCTGGTACGTTGTGGGAATGTTGAAGCATGGTGATAACTTCGTGGTGATTCTTGAGAATCAGCACTCTCCCGCTGCTGCGAAAGTACAGTTGTGCGTAGACATAATATTCTCCATCTCGAGGCACAGTCAGACGTCCATGACTGTACGTCATGCCGTCCTCGAGATGGCTGTGCACATTTCCCGCATCCCAGTCTGTAATCGCTGTAAGGAAATTTTCGAGTTGAATATTAGTAAAACTGAGAAAGCCGTTGAAGCAATAAGAAAAGATTGAAACAACCTTGGCCAACCGACCTTGCCCATTGCCGTAGTTAGTTACTCTTCTCTCGGTGGCTTCGATGTGAGCCAGAGGCTGATAATAGTCCTACAATAAGATAAAGAAACGAGTATCAGTTTTACACTGTAGAATATGAAACTTTCTTACCCACACTTGCGGGTACTTGACTACAACTCAATTTTCTAAAGACTATAGGATTCCTACGACTTATGACTCCCGTTTTCAAATTCTCTTTTGAAAAAGATTTAGACCAAGCATTTATTTTTGAAACAAATGCGAGACTGTTGAACTTGATTATGAAAGATAGCAAAAACTGTCTGTGATAGAATGGTGGAAACAGATAGAAATGCCTGAAATCAAGAGTGAACGTCCTCTTGCTGAGGGAATGAAGGACATAAGTTATTAAAGAAAGGTGATGAAATGAAAGCTGGATCGTCAATGAAAAACTATACGAGTTTTAGATATATGAAAATTCACATATTTGCACTGCGGTGGAGAGATGAAATTATAAGATCCTCGCAGCTAAGAACACTACTGAAACGAGTAGTTGTAAATAGGACCGGAAAAAAATTCAGGCCCGTACGGGATTTGAACCCATGACCTCTGCGATACCGGTGCAGCGCTCTACCAATTGAGCTAACAAGCCAACTGGGGGCTGGTCAATGAATTGGGTACAAATAAACATCCAAGTGAATGAAGATTTTAGATATATGAAAATTCACATATCTGCGAGGATCTTATAATTAGCTGCGAAGATCTTATAATTTCATCTCTCCACCGCAGTGCAAATATGTGAATTTTCATATATCTAAAATCTTCATTCACTTGGATGTTTATTTGTACCCAATTCATTGACCAGCTCCCAGTTGGCTTGTTAGCTCAATTGGTAGAGCGCTGCACCGGTATCGCAGAGGTCATGGGGTACGGGCCTGAATTTTTTCAGGGTTTCAGTAGTGTTCTTAGCTGCGAGGATCTTATAATTTCATCTCTCCACCGCAGTGCAAATATGTGAATTTTATTCAGGTCCTATTTACAACTACTCGTTTCAGTAGTGTTCTTAGCTGCGAGGATCTTATAATTTCAACCATACGAGTATTAAATTCTAACAATTGAGGGACAAAGAAAAAAATCTAACCTCCAACGGGGAATCGAACCATGAACCTTCTGTTTTCGCAATCTGACACTTTATCATTGAGCTACAGAAAATTATGAACAATTTTTGCACTTGTCTTACCTTTCGCAATCGACCCGCTTCCACGTTGGTGTATATCAGAAAAACACAAGACAAAAGAATCTTCACCTCAAGAAAAGCCATGATGTTGGGAATATCTGAGAGATACTGTGGAAGGAATTGTGATTGTTCAGAAGGATTTTTGCACGAAATTAAAATAGATTTCTAGACGAAACCTTACACCAGAAACTGAGCTTGCTACTAGTTTCCTCTTTTAAATGTAAGACCCGAGCAATGTGTCTGCTGTAATAAGATCTCCTCTCTTAACGATCGTCTGAGAATTGTCACAATACTCTCGAATTGCGATATTAACATCCATTTTGCGACTGTATGTACTGGAATAGTATTTTGCATATGTATTGGGAAATATTCCTCGCACAGACGACTTACGAAGGGCTAAGGGACACTCCCATATTAAAACCATAAACAAATTGGAATTTTTTAACTGAACTCACCTTTGGAAAGGCTCAGACATAAACTGTATGAACTCGGCCAAGTAATGATTATATTTGCTCGATAGGCTCCCAGTTATACAAAACACCCTTTCCAAACTTGGAAGCATCTCTTTTCACGCACCAAGGCATCAGTTGACGCAAAAGCTTAGAAACTCAGCCTAGTGTGAAATATTATATCTGAATAAGCTGGCGAGTCGACCAAAGCGAAGGAGAACAATGTGCGTATACTTTTTGACTAATAATTTTTAAATAGTGCCCCCTACTACACAGTTACATAAGTTGTCAGAATCTCTCGATAGCCATTGCCAGTTGTGTCTTAGTGCGTAGGAACGACTCAAACGTGAATAGAATTAAGCCCCAGGCAAAAAAGAACATTGTTGTAGCGCTAAATATGGAGAGCTTTTGCTCTAAGTCAAAATACAACTAGCACGAAACCATCCACTCACCCACAAAACATATTTCATTCTCTCCTCCTGGAAAAAAAATACCTGGAAGTTTTCCGCATTCACCTCACCTTTTTCTCCTCTCAATGAAACGAGAAACTGGTGATTACGAGCGCGAGTAACTCAATATGCCGCTAAGTTAGTGCATGCTAACGACTGGAAACAGCTTTGAACAGACTCGTTTTGCGATGAAGCTCTTTGTGACACAAAATTTTGTCAGGAACTATATATTAAATAATCGCATTAAATTTCAAATGCAATCAGAAACATGTTTCAATCTGAGAACGATTGGTGGGAGTTATTTTAAAGCTTTAATTTCTATGCTATGTTTCGTTTTCATAGTTCGATACAAATCAAAAACATGAGATCAAAGCTTCTGCCGCCTTTTATTTCATGCTGTTAAATCTTCAAGGTCATTGACGATCAGTGGCTTTATCTATCTGTTTGTAACAGATTGTAGAATGATAAATCACCCAACCGTTTGCCGCCTTTTATTTCATGATGTTAAATCTTCAAATTCATTAACGTCAGTGGCTTTATCTATCTGTTTTTAACAGATTCTAGAATGATAAATCACCCAACCATTTGCCGTCTTTTATTGTTATGATAAATCCTTAAAGTCATGGTCGATCAGTGGCTTTATTTATTTGTTATTAGCAGATTCCAGAATGATAACTCGATAGACCATTTGTCTGTATATCTTTTATTTCACGTGCGTGATTATTTCCTCTCTTGTTATGTTAACTCTTAAAGATCAATAAAATTTCAAAATTTAAGTAACCTTGCGTTCATACCACTTCCCTTTGCGTTCTGAACCTTACACTTATGCTGTTTGCTCGTTACATTTGTCTCGACAGTGTCTGCTATTTTCAAGGAATAACCCCCGCCTTTGAGAATTAAATCTTTCGTTGGGGATAATGCAGTTCGCTGCAAAGTCGGGCTAATTAGTCAGACTCACTTCTTTAGCCGATAATAAGACTCTGGGCCAAAAAACAAGAATATTATGATTTGAGCGACAAATTTAGAGAGCTATTGCTTTAAGAAGGTTCCATGGGTTTTTTGAACGTGCGAGATCTGGGTGCAAATATAGTACGAGCTTTAAAAGTATCAACATGCAACACAAACATGGCGGCTCGATACAATCGCACGATTGTTAAAAGGTGTGTTAAAAACAGTTGAACAAAGTACATTTTTTATGTGATGGAATCTAGGGTTTCCAGCGACTACACCCGTAATATTCATAGGCCTCTATGCTTAAAAAAGAGGTCAACCGGAAAGAAAACACCCTTGTAAGTAAGTAAATAAAGTAAAAGCTTTATTAATGTGTCAATGTATTTAGTTTTCACAACTAATTGGGGACACGAAAAGAAATCAATAATTGGATAAATAAATAGGTAAGATAAAGTAGAATTATTTACAAATAGGAAATTATGAAGGATGTATATATAATTCATATGAATAACATGTATAAATTGTGCAATGAACAATAGTTATATAAAAGGTGGTCTCTAAGAGTTGCACAGATTACAGCAGCTATTGTTGTTGTTTAAGAGTGACGCTAGGTCTTTTTTCTTAATTTTCTTTTTAAAATATTCAATATTCCAGGAGCCTTTCAATTTATTATCCAGTTTTGACCATATATGAGGTCCTTGATATCTAATGTTTTCTCTGGGAAAGGTTGCAAAAAGGCGACAGATTCGAAAGTCTATGCATGCTCAGATACCGATCTTGACGAAGTTCGATTCCATGACGAAATGTTTGGCCTCAAATTAAATAGGGATCTTTCGAGTAAGATTTATCGCGATTCCTTCTGTGGAATTTTCTAAGATTTGCTGGATCGTTAAACATATCTGTGCCCTGCTGAGTTCGTAATCCATAAGTTTGGTATTGCTCACTCTTGTAAAAATGTTGTTTAAATTCTTGTTAAAGGCAGTTGATAACAATCACATAATCGCCTTAAATTAAAATGCAATCAGAAATTTGTTTCAATCTGAGAACGATTATTATGGGTTATTTTGTCGCTTTAATTCCTATCCAGTGTTTAGTTTTGATAGTGCGATACAAATCAAAAACGTTAGACTAATAGCTTCTGTCGCTTGCGTTCCATTATTGGGATTCTGGTAGAGAGAAAATCTATATCCAAAAGAAATTAGTTAGTCTTTGTTTAAGACTCCAAAACTTTTTGACCTCCCAGGGCTGTTTTCCATAAAAATCACTGAACCTATAAATGCTATTAACTACTAACAGATTCTAAATTGCAGATAAATCACCCAACCGTTTGCCGCCTTTTATTTCATGATGTTAATTCTTCAAGTTCATTAACGTCTGTGGCTTTATTAATCTGTTTTTAACACACTCTAGAATGATAAATCACCCAACCGTTTGCCGACTTTTATTGTTATGTTAAATCCTCAAAGTCATAGTCGATCAGTGGCTTTATTTATTTGTTATTAACAGATTCCAGAATGATAGCTCAGCAGACCATTTGTCTGTATATCTTTTATTTTACTTGTGTGATCATTTCCTCTTTTGTTATGTTAACTCTTAAAGATCATTTGCGGTCAATGAAAATTCTAAAGTTCAGAAACCTTGCGTTCATACTGCTTGCCTTTGCGTTCCGAACCTTTCACCTATGCTGTTTGCTCGTTACATTTGTCTCGACAGTGTCTGCTATTTTCAAGGAATAACCCCCGCCTCTGAGAATTAAATCTTTCGTTGGGGATAATGCAGTTCGCTGCAAAGTCGGGCTAATTAGTCAGACTCATTTCTTTAGCCGATAATAAGACTCTGGGCCAAAAAACAAGGACATTATGATTTGAGCGACAAATTTAGAGAGCTATTGCTTTAAGAAGGTTCCATAAGGTTTTTTGAACGTGCGAGATCTGAGTGCAAATATAGCACGAGCTTTAAAAGTATCAGTGCAAAACAAACTTGGTGGCTCGATCGATTCGATCGCACGATTGTTATTTGAAAAGGTGTGTTAAACACAGTTTTATTTGATGGAATGTAGGATTTCCAGCAACTGCACCCGTAATATTCATAGGCCTTCTACGACTAAAAAAGAGGTCAACCGAAAAGAAAACACCGTGGGAAAGATTGCAAAAAGGCGACAGATTCGAAAGTCTACGCATGCCCAGATACCGATCTTGGCGAGGTTTTATTCCATTACGAAATCTTTTGCGACAAATGAAATAGGGATTTGTCGAGTTTGATTTATTGCGTTTCCTTCAGTTGAATTTCCTAAGATTTGCAGGATCGTTAAACATATTTGTGCCCTTCATTGTGCCTGTTGATAAAAGTAATTCATACGGGACCAAATTTGAGATGGAGGAAGAAATCACAAAGCGACAAATAGCGAGGAGACTGCCTTTGTAACCCCTTTTTTTCGGCTTGTTAATGAGCGACAGGACAAGTTTTACAAATTTTGAAAATTTTGAGAGATTTTATCGGAGCAAATTGAAGAAAATCAAAGGCAAAGTCAGATTATCGCTGGCGAGCGCCTCCCTTTGTGGAGCTTAAGCTTCATGATAACGAAAATCGTTTTGATAATATTTACTACAGCAAACGATAGCACAAACCTTGCTCAATGCCTTTGATGGCTTTTAGTGACCTTGAAAAGCGAAAAAATAAAAATTTTTTAGAAAAATATAATGCTGGCGGGCGCGCCAACATTGAGCAAAAACCTTACGAAGCCTCGTTAAGTCAATTTATGACCAGCACAAAACCCACTCACTCACCCACATCCACACCCACAAATCTTCAAGTACATTGACGATCAGTACTATCAGTGGCTCTCTTCATCTTTTATTGACATAGTAGAGAATGATAAATCAGACAACCGTTTGCCGCCTTTAACTTTGGTTTCTTTGGACTAAAGTATCTGATTAACCTTTTGTTTAGTCATGTTGAAAATATTCAAGGTCATTATCTTTTATTACCAAATCTAGACTGATAATTCGGCCATATCCTTTATTTTACGAAGGTCATCGTTTTCTTTTTAACTCATTCATTGCGCAGCAATGGATAAGTTATTGTGGAGAGGAGAAAACGGCGTTTGCAGAAGTCTGTGTAGTCAAATGTGGCAGCTTGAGCAGAAATAGCGGAGGTGACATAATAAAGTGGTTGAACGTGAGGAATGCTAACCATGTAACCACCCTGCCTTAACAGCAAACAAACCACTTTCTGG